TATATATATATATATATATATGTATGTATATATATACACGTGTGTGTTTGTGTAATTAGCAACAGAAGATTAAAAGAAGAGAGATAATCTTCACCTTCTTATCTTTGATTTCACTGGATTGAATCCAAGTCTTAATCTGGTCCCTGTATCTCTGCAGCTTCTTAATCTCCTTCTTCAGGTCAGCCTCGAACTTCTCCTTCTGGTTCGCATTGTCCGTGTCGTAAACCTAACTCACCAACCGCCACATGTCATTCGGAAACAGAAGAAACTCGAAATTGAAGAAGATGAATAACAGAAGAACCTTGTTCCAGATGCTATCAAAGACTTCGACGCCTTCCTGAACCTTCTTCAGAACACGGTCAATCTCGCCCTGGAGTTTCCGACTCGCCCCCATTTTCGCCGATTCAACTCATCCAACTCGGGCCTGAAATTCTAATCTCTTTCGAAATTATCGATTCTCCGTAGGTAAGTTCAACCTCTGTCTCTCATTTTTGAAGCTGTGTTTTCCTCTTTTTCTTCTTCCCCGGACAGTGAGACCCACCCGTTCTTACAAAAAGTCGTTGTTATCATTTACCTTGTGTATTTATCCAGAAAAAATAGTATTTATAACGTTTGTATTTAAAAAGTTAATTATTGCAGAAATTATAAAAAACACCGTATTAAAATTTAAGAACTAAGTTAAATTAACTGAGGTGTAGAAATAAATTAGTTAAAGTTTCTTACACCTTACAAATAAATCTAAAAATAATAAATAATTAGGAACACAAAAATCTAAGAATAATAAATAATTTGGAACACAAAAGGTCTATCCCAGCATATAAAGTGAAGAAATTTTGTTAAGTTAAGAAGAGACAAAAAAAATTAAATTTTACGGTTTTTTCAATTTTTTCTATTATTAGAAGGATTTTAATAATTGATAAATGTTTATGATTAAAGATAATTTTGAAAAATATATCTTAAGATATTTGATTTGATATTGTTAAATAAGTATCTTATTTAACTATATCAATAAATATCAAAAGATATTATATGCGAATCTTTTTTTAATCTAGAAAACATCTTCTCAAATACTTTTAGATCTCTACAACAATCAAATATATTTTGAAAATATTGAATTATTTAGAAAATAATATGAGGAAATTACATTATCATAAAGAAGATTACAGCAATAGAAAAACCTAAAACAAAGTTCAATCCAATTTCTATATAGAAAGACTTACGAAAACACATTAGAGGAGCTTATGAACCCTTTAGAGGGTTCAAATTTCGTCATATCTCTCTTATCTCATATTCTCCAGCCTCTCTTCTTCTATTTTCATGTTAAATTTTAAATTTTAAATAAAACTAATTTGCTTAAATATCATTAAACACACATATTTAAAATAAATGTTTATAGCATAAATTGATAATCTAGTTGAATTTACATTGAAATGGAATAAAGAGGTACCTGTTACGATGTTGGAGGTTGTCAATGTATCCATGTCGAAGTGGGCCAATAAAGTTCACTTTTATATTGTTATTATTGTGCAATTCTTTCATATCTAGTAATTTGATATGAAATTATAAATTTCATGATAGCAAAATTTACAAAGTTAACAAAAAAAAAGGGGGTAGAAGTAAAAGTATGTGAAAGGAAAAAAAAAATAGTGTAGTTATGGATACAAAGAATACCCTAAAAAAGATTATTAGTGTTGTCAGTGCTAAAGAAATACAAGTTGATGAGGAAAATGTTAAGGTTATCAAAGATTGGCCTATACCTAAGATTGTGAGTAAGGTGAGAGGGCTTCATAGTTTAATAAGTTTCTACACGATATATTTGTTGAAGATTTGAGTACCTAAGTTTCTACACGATATATAGTTGTATCATTTTATGTTTTGTTCTTGGTGTTGTACATGAATTTATGTTGGTTACCTTTTAACCTTTTAGGACAAATGTAATGAAGTAATAATATATTTTGTTTATGCTTATTGGATAGCAAATATATAATGTCCTTAGCAGGGGTGGCAAAATGGGCTAACCCAACCCTTTTAAGTCTGACTTGAATTTGGCCCACCAAAAATAGGTTGAGCTAGGATGGCCCACCCCTTAAGAATGGGTTCACTTTTACAACCCAACCCACTCAGCTATTGAGCTGGCGGATTGACCAAGTTATCGGGCAAAACGGGTTCATGTCGGGCTATCGGACGGGCTGTCAGGCTGACGCTAGGCTACATTTGCATAATTTATCATTTATTTGAATATAACATTTGTGCCTACCTTTGAATTTCCCATAATATATTAAAACATGTTAATACATTAAATAATTTTCGTTCACACTGTTAAAACAAGAGCGTCTATAAGACTAAACTGTCTAAACGTCCTCATATGTTTTGAAGTTTAACAAACAATAATAAACGACATGATCATATGACAGAGTGTCATCTTTGGAAAAGTAATATAGCTAAAAGATAAGGTGTTTACGAAAAAGCTTTGTGAAATGTAAATACCTTAAGAAAGGCTTTAATAAATGTATTAATACATAAACAAACCCACTATTAAACGATTTCCCTATGAAATGCATCAATGAGAGTCTTGCTAAATGCACTTGTGTTATACTTTGCTAAAGAAAGCTAGATGATCTCTCACTATGATTTACAAAATGATGTTTTTGGTAAACGTACTAAAAGGTACCAACATTGTCCAAAAACACATGTTGAAAGATATCTCACTAAACGCGCTCTTGAATCAAATAAGTACTTACTAAATAAGGCATTGTAAGGAAAAATCTTTCATAGGCTAAGTGATACCATGTGTTCATCGAAGTTTTCATGAAATGGTGAAACTCTCATGAACCGACAAGTATCTTCTTTAGAATGCTTAAACGATCTAACGTTGATTGACCAATAAAAATTTGAAATGCTTATAGTTGTTTTGAACGCGCATCGAATGCCATTAAATGCACAATGTCTCACAACAAAAGTGATAAGAAAAATGACATATCTTCCTGCATGCATATCTACTTGACTCTGTGCAGATTACCTATGTCAAGTATCTACCTGCTCCATCATATACAAATCAAAAGTGGATGTTAGAAACAAAGAAGAAATTCACCAAATGTTCTCTCTATCAAAAGTCGCGCTAGAAAGTTTGTATAACTTACTTTTTATAAAGAACTGAAAAAGCATGGTTGCTTTGAGAGGTTGACTTTAACCAATGAATACTACCTACGAAAAAGCTAAGAAGATCTGAAGATCAAAGCAACAAACTCTTGTTGGAAGTCTTCAACAAGTAGGCTTCTAAATTCTATTTAGTTTGTCTTTCCAGTTATTATTTCGTCTTGGTTGGTCTATATTGAGTCTTTATTTTCTTTTTAACCCTTGATTTGAGTCATATGTGGTTCCTTTTTAGGAGTTTTCTAGAAATTTTCATGAATTGCACTTGCTAGAGTCACTTGCATCATTGATTCTTGTATGCTGAATTAAGATGGATCAAATCAGGATTTAAGTGTGTATGCTTTTCTTGTATGTTTTGCACTAGTAGAAGTAATCATCAAACACAAATTTCACTTTGATCAAACATACACACACATTTTCCCTTGTCTTAGCCGAAACTGAAAAAAAAGTGCTACATCAATCACCAAAAATTCTCTTTAAAAATTTCATGCTTAATTGCTTCTAACTGAGACTTCCTTCTGGCCTTGTGTGTGTTTGACATCAATATTTTAGCTTCTACTTACATCAATTTACAGAATATATTGGTTTGAAGCATGCCAAATTATTTCCACTCATTTTTAGATCTTTCTCTTCATGTATGCAAATAGTTTTTAATGTAATTGCTTCTTATTTGTGTGCATTCTTTTGTTTCAATTTTTTCAGTTGTTCCTTTATTTTGATTCCTTCATATTACTTGTTGTTTTGTCTCTTTTAGTACTTTAGTTTGTTGCCACTTTTTTGTTCAAACTTTTCTTGCTTTACTATGTTCCTTCTACATCATTGTCTGGTAGTTTTCAATTGATTTTTTGGCCTCTTGAAGTGTATGTCTCTTGGATTGTGTCCTTGTATGTGTTTAGGTTGATTGTACATCCTTTCACTTGTCTTTTTTATTGTTTAAGTATTCTGAAATAGGACTTTGAGAAACAATTCTATCTTGATTGAAGATTACAAGTGAGTTGGTGTGGTCATTCCCTTTCTTTTGGGCAAAACCGTGTGCATTAAACCAAGGAGTGTGTTGTTGTTTTCTTTGATTTTTTGCTGGTATTCTAACCTTTTATTTTCTAAGTTTTGCTTCTATTTTGTATTGCAAACATGTCTACAAGTTCAAGACAATCCTTCTCCAAAGGAGATAGTTATAATGGGAGTGCATCTAGCAAATTGGACATGGAAAAAGCACTTTAACAAATTAAGCATCAACTTGATTCTCTTAATATGCGGAAGGACAACGAGTTTAAGATGAAAGGAAAGAAAGGATATGGACACAAAGAGCTCAAGCATTCTCCTCGTGGTCATTGTCCTTCCAAGAAGCATAAAGAAGATAGAGCTTTTGATAAATTTCTTCAATTGCCAAAGTTGAACTTGCCACCTCTCAAAAGAAAAAAAGATCCTTCTATTTTTTTTAGTTTGGGTAGCTAAAGTAGAGCAAGTTTTTGATTTGTACAATGTAGATAATTTTTTTTGTGTAAAATTAGCTACATTAGCTTTAAAGGGATATGTCATGCAATGGTTATATAGGATGAACTTAACCACCATGGGATCACATGCGAGCTCTTGGGAACATTCCAAGCACATTTTATTCCAATGCTTCATACCTCCTCACTAACTTAGGGAACTCTTGGTTAAGCTTCAACAACTTAATCTAGGTAGATGAAGTGTGGAGAAGTATGTTTGCGAGCTCGAAGTGCTCCTACATTGTACTAATACAATTGAGAGCGATCAAGCCAAGATAACTAGATTTATTAGTGGTCTCAAAAGAAACATACAAGATATTTTTGAACTTCATGATGATGATATTTTGGATGTTGTGGTACATAGGGTTATAAAAGTGGAAAAACAAATTTTAATAAAAGAGTCCTACCGCAACAAGTTTTCAAATGCTTCCAAAGACATTTTTTACAAAAATTCATCATCAAAGGAGAAGGATACAAATGTTTTTAAGGAGAACTCTAATAAACCTCGTCATCATTCTACTAAAAATGTGCCTACTTTTAAGCCTAAGTCACCTTCACGCTCTAGTAAAATGCAATGTTTCATGTGCTTAGGCCATGGTCATATTGCATTTGCATGCCCCAACAAAAGGCCAATGTGAATTAAAGGAGAAGAGGTTGTCACCAATGATTCTCCACCTTCTTCACTTTCACACACTTCTCACTTTTCTTCTTCCTCTAGTGATTTCATTTGATGGAGACCTGCTAGTTATAAGACGTTTATTGGGACAAGTCCACAAGGACTTGGATCAAACTCAAAAGGAAAATATTTTTCACACTAGATGTCTTATAGCTACCAATGTTTGCTCGATGATAATATATAGGGGAGTTACATCAATGTGGCCAGCACACGCGTAGTACACAAACTCAAGTTACCTACTATCGCGCATGCCAAGCCCT